ACTTGAGATTAAAATATTGGTTTATGGCATCCAACATTCAGGGAATTTGGTAATACAAAGGGAACTTCACACCCTTGCACATTGTCACAATTCTCAAGATCCCTTTAGATGAAGCTATACTCGAGTCATTTTGTGGTGTGCCAGTTCAAAAACATTCGTATTATTGATATATGAGGACGTCTACTTTATTTTCTTTTAACTTTTCCAGTTAAAATTTTTCATGTATTTACCCAAAAAACTCTTTACAATTTTATAAATAAAAAGGTATTTTCTTATTAAAACCATGTTGCAAGCATCCTAATTTGAAAATAAAATTATGATTAACTTGGGAGACATGAGATTAGATGATTATTGCGTAAAAAGTTTGGAAAAGTGCAGGTGTTCTGAAGCTGAAAATGGTTTTAGCATGAGGCTTACATGATGATGGGCTACAAAAATCAAAACCTTGGGCTACATATAAAAGCTCAGAAAGTTGGGATATTCCAAGATGTTTTTGCTGATCAAATAGCTATCATGAATACTATATGGGTTCAACAATGAAGAGCATCAAAGTAATGTCTAACCAAAGAGTGTTTGATCAGAATTGTCAGTCGGGGTGGACTACTAGTGATTTTTGTGCCCAAGATTTGACTGAATTACAAATACGGTCGACAAAAGAGAGTTCTCGTTTGAAAAAGAAAATGTTCTGAAATTGCATCATGCACACATTTTAGGCATAAATAGGATCATGACATTCAAAAAATGCATAATGCTGATAAATGCAATTGAGTACTTACATGTTTTTCCAAAAGGAAAGGTTGAAATGTCGAGACCCAATATAAAAATAACCAATTCAGAGTCCTAGAAAGAGGAAGGTTCAACTCACACTCAAGTTGAGGCAGATTCCATATTCGGTGGCTGCGAGACAAGCTTCCACAAGAAAAATCAATTTCCAAAGATTATCTTGAATTCCCAAACGTTCATGTATGGTGTTTTCAATTCTCAAACATATATTAACAAGTGATAATGCTTAGATTTCAGATTTGATATTCTTGAAAACAAGAGAAGCAAATCGAACTCATTTCAATGTCCCTAAAGAATAGTAGAATGAATCAACATTTCCAAATCTAATTTCCTTGAAGAAACAGCTGAACAAATCCCTTGTTTTTCCAGATTTGATCTTCCCTGAGGAACAGTAGAACAAGTCTGTCTCAATTCAATCTTCCCTGAAGAACAGTGAAGTGAATCAACATCTCTAGATCTGATTTTCCTTGAAGAATCAGAGGAAAGATCCCAATTTTCCAGATTTGATCTTCCCTGAAGAAGCAGTGGGACAAGTCTGCCTCAATTCAATATTCCCTGAAGAACAGTGGAAGGAATCAACATTTCCAGATCTGACCTACCCTGAAGACGCAGTGGAGCATATCTCTTTTCAACTCTATTTTCAAAAATCTCTCTTTTAATTTTTGCATGTTGCTTTATGTTATTTTATTTAGTCGCTAATTAGTTATGTTCTCTATTTTAAATTAATTTGCATGATACTCTCATAAGCATTTCTTGAATCAAAATGATTTGACTAAGGGTAATACTCCTTCATTTTAATATTATCGTAAAGTGATTGTATTACATATAAGAAAGTTATTTTCGATAATTTTAAAATGAAAGTCTATCCATTAAGTGATACGAATTAAATTCATTCCATTTTAAAATTTGGGTATTGAGAAAAAGAGCATGTTCTTTTAATTAGTTCATCGAGAATATTGTTAGATCGAATCTGAGGTCTCGTCTTGATGTTTAAATAATTGAAATCCTTATTCTCAGTAAAGACTGGAAAAATAATTAATTAATTGTACTTGCTTGATGTGTGCTTTTAATTTGTTTATTTTTGTATGTATTTTCAATGGGATTTCAAAATAAGAATACTCGAATTAATATTTAATTTTAGGATGGAATAGTAATATCACTTCATTTTGATTGCAGTAATAATGACTACTTTAAGGCATGAGAGGTCATTTATTCTCGATTGGAAATAATTAGATATCATCGTTTTCTCTCGAATTAATATCAAATTGTAAAAGGAAATTGTAATATTATTTATTTGATTGGAATAAAAATGACTGCTTTGAGGCATAAGAGTTTGTTTCTTCTCGATAGAAGATAATTAATATTTCATTTTTCCCTCTTAAAATTTAAAAAACTTATTGATATCTTAAATTTATTTTTATTTGTGCATTTAAACTTGGAATTAATAGTGAGTTTGGGAATGGAATTGCAATATTCTTTATTTCGATTGGGGTAAGAATCGGCTACTTTAAGGCATGAGAGGTTGATTCTTCTCATAGAAAATAATTAATATTATTGTGTTTCATCCTAAAGTTCAAAGAATATTACTTGTATGGGATCTTAAATTAAATTAGACTCGAATTCTTAAATTATATTGCAAAGACAACTAAATTAGTGACTAGGCACCGATTTAGGGCGATGTGGGGGTGCTAATCCTCCCCACGCGTAACCGACTCTCGAACTCAACTTTTTAGTAACGCATACCGCAAATTTATTGTTTTATTTAAATTAATATTTTTATTAAAATGACAAATACGTTTTTGGGTGCCCAATCACACCTTAATCAAGGTTGGTGGGACTCCTCGAATCATGTTTTAATAACATCACTAAATTATTGAGACAATATCTTTTAAAAATCACTTTTCAAAAATCAAATTTGTATGTTTTTTAAGAAAAAAATTGTTTCGACGGATATGATAAAATTTGATTTCATAATCTCAACCGGCTATTGTATCTTATCAGCATGTTAAGTCCAACTCAAAGACGTTAATTTTTAACAAAAGAAGAGTTGGAACATAATTAATAGTCGGTGACTATTTGTAACTTTAATAGTCAAGAGACTAAAAAAAAACGTCCTATAGTCGGAAGACCATTTTATAACTTCTAATAGTTAAGGGACTCAGCATAATAGTATTCTATGATCGAGGAATCATTATGTACTATACTCATTTTTTATTTGGTCTAATACCTTTATTAAGCCAATTGAAATTAAAAAAAATAAAAATTAATAATAAGGTGGTAAACTTGTTAATATTTTAAAATTTTGATTTATTCTGTAATGTATAATGGTGTTTATGATATTACTATGCTTTTAATGTGTTATATTTTTCCTTGTTCTTGATTTTCTAAAGTTTCATTATTAATATGTATAATAATTATCGTTTTTTATATTAATATAAAATTCTTTTTATAAATTTGACGTGAATATAAAAATATTTGTTAAAAAAAATTAATTATTTTGACAATAAACGCTACATTCTATATACACGATGTTCGAATCCAAAACTTTAAAAATACAATAATCTTTAATTACTAATTCTTTTGGTTCTATGTAATGAAAAAATCCTTAAACATTCGGTTCACAAATTAATTTATATTCCTTTATCACTATTTCTTGTCACGTGTTCACTTTTGACCAAATTTTAGGAAGTAAAAAGTTTCCAAACATGTGATATAATCATTTAAAAGCGTAAATTATAAGTTAATACCAAAATTGTTATTTTCTTCTATTTTGATATTCAATTTTTACTTTTAAAATCATACTAATATTTAAATAAGGTTTCAATTTAGTACCCGCCATTTAAAGTTAACATAATGTAATGTAATTTTTTAATGATGATATGACATTACGTTGGGACACATCAACATCACCATCACCGTTAATTTTTTTATGACGAAATACCAAAAAATCTAAATTAAACAGTTAATATTTAAAAAATAAATTTTGAGTATCAAAACAAAATAAAAGTAATAATTTATATACTAAACATGTAATATACCTCAATTAAAATACAACAATTACTAAAATGCTAATGTGATTTTTTTAATGATGATATGACATTACGTTATGGTGACACATCAACATCACCATCACCGTTAATTGTTTTATGACGATACCAAAATGAAATCTAAATTAAACGTTAGGAATAATTTAAAAAATAAATTTTGAGTATCAAACAAAATAAAAGTAATAATTTATATACTAAACAGTAATATACCTCAATTAAATAACAATCAATTACTAAAAAAACAAAAGCTTTGTGTTTAGCACAAAATTTACAAAATGGGTAAAAATGGGTAAAAAAAGAAATAGGTATATTAATTTGTGGATTTTTTTAATGTAATATTTTGAATGAGATAATATAAAAAATAAATAATAAATTTATTGAAATGAATGCAGTATTAATTAAACCTAAAGTAGAAACTAATTTATGTTAAATTAAAATAGATGAGTTAACTCCTAAGTTTCAACATAATAATGGTGTTATCAACTTAAACCAACTAATACTATTATAAATGCATAATGCCAAAATAGCCACAACGTTTACCAAATGGTTATTTGACTCCTATTATTTTTTGAGCATTTAGCCCTTCAACGTTTCATTTTGAGGTAAAAAGCCTCCAGTAGATGAAAACCATTAGTAACACGATTAACACTCCAAAATACGAGCCTTTTAGCAAAAATGAAACGTTGAGGTTTAAATGTCCCAAAAAGAGAATAAGGGACAAAATTATTATTATCAAATGTTAAGACCTGTTTGCCGTAAAATGAACGTTGGAAGCCAAAATGCTCCAAAAAATAGAATAGGGAGTAAAATGACTATTTTGATAAATATGGAATTAATTTTAGCATTTGCCTATTATAAAAGCAGTAAGACTGAGGAAGCATATTTGATCGATTGATCAAGTTGTTTATCTTTGTTGCCTTATATTCTTTAAGTCGTATGTTCTAGATTCACTAAGAGCGCTGCTCTTCCTTTCCCTAAGTCCCTCCTTCCTCTCTCTAGTAGGATTAGGATTATATTTAGATTTTTTTAAATAGTAGGAATAATTTATGCCAAATTAAAATAGTCGGTTTAACACCTAAATTTCAACATATTAAAGGGACTAAAACTAGAATTAGACCTAATTCGAAACGTTAATGCATGCATGGGAATTTGATTATTATGTACATGTACCTATCTTTCCCTTATTCTGCTTAAGCTTCGTTCCAACTGGTTTTCTAACTGTTGTAGCTCATTAACAGAACATGGTTCCAATCCTTCTCCCAATAGTTTTCTGTTAAAAATAAAAATATTAATGCAGATATTGATGAAATGAGAGCAGCTACTAACGTACAAGTTCTTGTTTGAAACTAAGGATTAACTGTTTAGAATCTTGGAGTAATTCAATCTTCTTACCAAGCTTTGAGCGTCTTCATTGCATTCTTCATGCACAAGCTCAATAATCGTTAGTTGTTATTAAGGTAGTATATGTCGACAATGAACGTTCAAACACTCGTGTAGACATTGTGTTCAAATCTGGACTTATAGAGACAATCATCCCTTACTACTTAATACTGAGGTGGCTTCATTCGTGCTTGACCAGCAAGATTAAGCATTTAATTACAAGAATGATTGCAGAGATAGGTACCGCAGGTTTGGTCTACTACTAACTTGTGCTGATTCGAATTTCCTTCTCTCTCTTCTGATACAGCTCTATGGTTTTGTTCATGCTGAAACAACTCAATACATGGAAAATCATGCACATATCATACTAGAATCATGTCCAAAAAGGAATAAATTGAAAAAACGGAGAAGAAAAAATAGGGTGAATATAAGGATGGACTCAGTGGGTGGGTGGAGAGATCGCCCCTTTGTATTTTCTATTGTAACTATGTGTTCACTTCCCTAAAATTTATAAGTTCATCTCTTCTAATATGAAATCTTGCGTCCCTAAGTGAATACACGCCTAGATTAAAGCACTGCATTTAGAAATGGTCTTTCCAGCTGGATGTTCTCCTTTTATTCAAATATTCTCACCATTTTCCTGGATTCTTTTCAGGAATTACTAAACTCTGTTGACGTCCTCTCGTGGATTTTCTTTCTTAGGGAGGGGGATGTTGGGCACCATCACCTAGTAATAGTTCGAAGAGGAAACGGATGGATGGAGACAGTCGACATTCCTAAAATTCCAGAATATTATATTTTAGATATTTTCTTATATTTATTATTGATAAACTATTTTAGTCCCTAGAATTTTATAAGTTTGCATTCTCTTAAATTTTAGAAATTCACACTTTTACATAAAATCATGCATATGTTTTGACATTACTAAACCAAATGTCCTAATCTTACTTAGAGGGAAGGAGAAGCTGGGATTTTAGAAGAAGCAAGAGGAGTTCTAGTAGGTCTAGAATCCATGACTTAGGGAAATATGAGTGAACAAAGATAAACAACTTAACCAACTGATCAATTTACTTGCTGCTTTGGACTAGAAAAACACTTATGATATCCAAACTAGAAAATTCCTCAAGTATATTCATACAAATGCATATCCATAATTTGTTGGTTAGGATGATATTAACTCTGAATCATTAATAAACATCTATTCAATCAAACAAGAAGATAAAAAATTAGCCAACATCCTTTTGGAGCAGTGGTTAAAACTCCATTATTGGCACCTTACATTCAAAGTGCAAATCCTGTAGTTATAAAATTACAAAATGGAACAAGTCTTCCTATGTAGTTGAAATCTCTAAACCCTATTGTAATAATTTTGAAGATAAATAAACACAAATCAAGTAAGTTCCCCAAGATTAATAGATGTTGTCTACCTGGTGATCTGGGTAACTTATAGTGTAGCCTCAATTTTTTTTATTAAGATAAAATTGATTATAAAATAATATCTATTCTAAGTATTCTCTCAATCATTTGAGAATGAAAGTTCAATCAATTTATAGTTGCTATGCTCGAACCTAACACCTCTAGAACAACAATTATTCAACCAAACAAATTCTAGTAACTGAGAATTCTACTCAAGTTATGGAACCTGAGAAACAGAAACAAGAAACAAAAAACCAAAAAGAAAATCTTTCTTGGATTACTTTTTGAATGAAAGATCACAGAACCCTAGATTTTGCGGATGAGGAGAACCAAATAGTCACCTATATCACTGCTTGAAAGCTCTCTCAAGAAAACCCTAGAATAAAAAAAAGAGCAAACAAAGTAAATAAATAATAATGTACGTGGAGAACCTAATCTATTTCTTCTTTTGGGCACATCCCAGAAACAGAAAACCAGACAATAAATGCCAAAATATTGTGATCCCACAAAGAAAGTGGATGCACCAAAAACGTTGCACACTGCCTGAGTTTGAGACACCTGTCCAGTTTCACCGACAACCTCCATGCCAGGTTCCGCAAAGCCAGCGTGTGAAGCGAAAAATGCACGACACGGAACATTTCTGTCGGGTGCATGCAAGAACCAGACACTCGCCGGACTCCATTAAAAAATCATTTTTTAAATTTTAATAGCCCTACAAGTTGCATGTCAGCTTCATTCGTACAAGAGGAGCCAATGGAAGTTGTACATGTCATCCAATTGAGTCATGCAGTACAGTAGTTAGGCTGGGTTTCACGTGGCTATGCCATGTTTGGTTTGTGGTGGAGCTTGGGTGGTAGGAGCTTGGGGGCTCCTTTCTTTTAGGGTTGTAAATCAGGTAATCGGACATTTTAGTTGGATCTTGGTAGGTCGGGTAAATCGGTACATGTCAACTCAGGTTGATTTGACATCGATATAGATTGGGTTCAGGTCGAGTCATTTCAGTTCGGATTGATGTCAGTTCAGGTTAAAACAGTTCAGGTCCAAAGCAGATAAAGCCATGTTAATTCAGGTTCGGTGGACTTCAGTCGGATATCGTTCAGATCGGGTCACATCATTGACAGAAAAATTCAGGTCGGATGTTTACCGGATACAGATTGAGTTCAGGTCGGGTTGTTTTTATTTTGGATTAATTATTTGTCATTTTTCGTGATTGTTGAATTGCAAGTTGCAATTGTATGTGATTCGAGTAAATTACAAAAAAATAATGGATCAATTTTGTAAAAAAATATAAATTTAAGGACAAAATTGAAGAAATGTAAAATTACAAATAAAATTTTAAAAATAAATTAAACAACACCATAGGTAAGGGACCAAATCGAAATAAATTTAAATGTGAGTTTTAAATTAATATAAAAGAGACTAAATTATACCTATTTAAAAGTTATGGGTCAGTTACAAAAATATAAATAACAACTAACAATTGGCCAAATGAAGATGCTAATATAAATTTAAGGACTAAATTGAATACATATAAAGTGAAAGACTTAAAATTGAAATAAATTAAGAAATACAAAAGGATAAAATTGAAATAAATGCAAGATGTGAAGAAATAATGAAAATATAGTAAATTGCATTCATTTAAAAAATTGAAAAAAATACAATATATATATTATATATATAAGTTTATATAAACTATATAATTATTATAAGCTATATACAAATTATGTGTATATGAACTATATATAAATTATATATAAATTATATGTAAACTATAAAAAGTATATAGTTTATAAACTATAATTTATATTTATATTAATATATATATATATATATATATATATATATATTATATATATATATATATATATATATATATATATATATATATTAGTGAATGGTGGGAGAACACTTTTTAAAAGAAAGATTTTTCTTTTGTGAAAATTTTTGATTTTATTTGGGAATTTAGAGGGAAATTGGGAAATTTAGATGGAATAGAAAAATTTGGGAAGTTGGGGCCAATAATAGTGTCCAACAAGATTTTGAGTTAATTAGGCTCATGCTCCAACAATCATCTTTTTCCACTTGTATTTTATTTTTTATTTCATTTTAGTCATGGTTTAATTGTAAATATCTTCTTGAATTTTCAATTGATGTAATTTAATCATGTATACATTCTAATTACTTTTAATTTTCTATATATGTATATAAACTATACATATAAACTATATAAAATATATAGTTTATAAATTATAATTTATATTAATATAATATATATATGTATGTATACTAATATAAGTAATCTACAGTATATATTATAGAACACTATGCATAAACTATAAAATAAGAAAGTATATAGTTTATAGAAACCTTAAACCTTAAACTATGAACCCTAAACCCTTAACTCTTAATCCTAATCCCTGAACTATATATGTAACTTATAGTACATGTATGTATAAACTATGTATAATATATATATAACCTATATATATAAACTATATAAAGTAAATTACTTATATAGTTTATAGAAACACTATGCATAAACTATATAAAGTAATAAAGTATATAGTTTATAGAAACCTTAAACCCTAAACTTTAAATTTTAAATCATGACTACTAAACCCTAAACTTTAAACTATATACGATAGACACAGTTGATAATTCATACATAATTTATATAAACAATAGTTTATATAAATTAAAAATGTAACATTAACCTATAGTCTATAAACAATAGTTAATATATATAACCTATAGTATATAAACAATAGTTAATATATATAACCTATAGTATATGTATACATATAAACTATATATGTAACTTATAGTACATGTATGTATAAATTATATATAGTATATATAAACTATATATATATATAACCTATAGTATATATATATACAATCTCTTTATATGTTATATAAACAATATATGTAACCTATAGTTTATAAACAATTAAAATAATAAAACATTGGACGGTTTTGATGAGACTTACGCCTTTCCCTTAATCATCTCTCAAAGTCAAAACCATGACCTCCCTTGGATAATACCTGCCATATATATACGTGTTATGCATGCATGTGCTACCAATAACACAATAATCAATAAAAATAACACATATATTTATGGGAAATCTAACCCTCCTCGCCCTCAACACATTTCTTCTTCTTCTAGTATAATAATTAATTAACTAAACAGTTTAGTTTTTCAAGGAAAAATTAAAATAATTAAAATTTAAATAAATTAGTCTGCCTGCCTGTGCTTTGAGAGATTCAAAAAGGCGTGGAAATACAGGTGGATAGGGTAGGAGTAGGCGACTCATGGCGATGTGCATGAATCTTCTTCATGCTCAAACAAACACGTAAGACATTTAGTTCCATATTACTCAAACAAACATTAAATCCGGTAATGGATAGGCGGTGGGCTCTACGTCATCTTATTTGGCGCGAAAACAAAGCTACCTCTCTTTTGTCACTCATCTTTTTTTTGCATGCCCAACTTGGCCTCTAGCCGACCCCATGCCCTTTCCTTTTTCTAGTTTTTTTTTTTATTTTAGTCAACACACATGCATGCATGTATGTATGATGCATCCGAGTATTTATAACCATCGACATAATAA